AAAAAAAATAAAAGAAAACGATGGGGTGATAAAAAATAAGTAACAATAATACAGTTTTAATTGAGTATGATAGTAGAAAAAATGCGTAATGGCTTAATTAGAGATAGTTGGTATGTTACGCAGAAATGGTAACATAGATTTAAAAATACAAGCAGCGATACGGAGTTACGAAGGTTTCACGATAAGAAACAATGATAAAGCATAAACACAGACATCAATTAGATATGCGACATAGATATAATGCCGGTAACAAAAAAAATAGATAGCTTGACAGAAATTAATAGAGAGAGATAAAGATAGATATATGTTTTTAGTGAGAGTTACTTTAGAATAATACATGATTGTAAGGGTATAATGTTTTGATTTTGTTTCTTTTGCTTTTGGCCCAATTAGAATTTTTTATGGTTTTTTTTTTAATTTATTTATTTTTTTTTTAATTACTGTTTACGATAAACGGTAAAATAAAGTTTATCATTCCTATTTCTGTATTTACAATTTCTTATTTATTTTCATTTGGATAAACTTTTATTCTATTTACGTAATTGCTTATGTTAGAATCGCTTTATAAAATTGAATTACTACCGTAACTACTTTTAAAGTCGCTTACAAATATTTTCATGTTTCATAATAAAATTGTATTGCATTACTTGTGTATTGCATTACCCAAGAAAATATTTTTATTTGGATTTTTTTACTTTTTTTGTCCTTGAAAATGTTTATCAAATCTTACGAAATTTAATTGCTACAAACGGCGTATTCTTTTTTAGACAACTTTTAATCCAAGTGCCATACTATCAACGGATGAATAAATATTAATGTAAGTAGAAAAATTTTAAAGTAGTTTGTATAGGCAACGAATGATGAAGAGATACTGTAGTATTATGAAATGCATTGCAAGAAATAAAGTATCTATCACCTTCGTGGTAGGGAAAAGGGGTCTAAGTTTAAATTACATAGTTTTTTTTTACTAAACTTAAGTTAAACGAAATAATTACAGTCTAAGTTTTGTCAAGGTTTAGTACAGAGATATCTTGGATCTTATTTTAGAACACCACACCTTATATCATATCACTGTAATGGTAATGGTCCCTTCATAATACCCCTGTGTGTTTGTGTCATGCCGTTGATACGTTGATCGTAAGTGAGTCAATGTTGCAATGTAACTACTACCCGTTTAAAAGAATTCGGGGTACCAGTTCATGTATCGGTAAGTACATATCTCTACGATCGGTTTGGTAGCACCTGTATATGTATGTGCATGGAACCGACAGTATAAATATTGTATAAACATTATTTACTCTTATCTCTCAAAAAAGCAAAGGCACGATGGAAAGAAAGCCAGTGCCTCCATGCGTTTGATCTCTGGCTAGCAGTTAGAAACGCGTTAATGTATAGCATTTCCTTATTTGCAATCAACGTATAATCTCATAAGGCAAACGCATAGAGATATGAGACGATATGGATCTCTTTAAAAATACTTTATATTTGATCAATCATTTTTTTTCATGCACAAAGATTTATACATTTTTTATGTCAATACAAAGGTTTAGATTTTACCGAAATAGTAAGGGCTCGAGCGTTAAAAAACTCTGTAAAACACTGGTTTACACTACACTATGAAAATAAATAAGTTAAGTACCAGTTTTCCTTTCGACTCGGTCTATTTATATTATACAGCTTCTAACTTTGAAAAAAAAATTTTTTTTTTATTATCGCATGATTAATGGCGACAATACGAGCATAGCTTTCAAATGACGCTAGGAAGATAAACATTGTTGTATACGTATATTTTAAATTTATCATCCTGTCAAATCAAATATTTGCATAAAACGTTTATCATTGTGGCGAGCCAAAATCGTCCAATCAAAAAATGATTAGGTCTGCTGTGAAGAAGAATAAGCAGGCATCAAATTAATGCTACGCTCGGGTGCAGCCAAGTGTGCAAGCACGTGGTTTAAACTGGTGTGCGATGTGCAATTAAAAATTTAAGTTGTCTGTACGTTCTACGTACATTTTGCTGTGAACTAGTAAGATTTCATATCGCGACTAGCAGAGTTCTGGGCAGTCGGTTTCCATTGCCTTCAAATTCCGATTACCTATATACCTGTTTGAGCTAATAAACGAAAGAGTTTATATTTATGAAATAATTATGTATTGGACTCAAAGTATAAATGCTACATTGAATATACTTGGTACATATATTTTTCATAACGACTTTCTTTTCTTTACTTCTTTCTCTATTTCTTTACGTGTTTTAATTATGTAATAGCGAAAAGTGACTTTTCTTCAGAAACTTTTTTTTTTAATTCAACATATTTGACACAATACGGTGTTATTAAACCAAATTTCATATAATGACACGTCATTTATAATTTGACTCTTAATCACGTAAGAGCATGTCTCTTTTACTTTTTGTCATAATTTATTTAGTTGTGTACAAGTCGTAAGTTAACTTGTTTTCAATAAGTCAACAAAAGTGTCACCCAAAGGCAAAAGAACCACAGTTCTCTTCCGATACCCCCAAGGTCTTACCATTTACGTCGAATAGCCGATTTTGCGTAGTCACAGTAGATGCCGCAACAACGAGACCCAGCAGCGCCAAACTGGTTCTGAAAAATAATCAACAGAAAATCCATTAACATAAATCAAAACAATAAAAATCAATGAAAAAATGTTGACTCTATCAATTTTATACCAAAAGTTCCCTAAGTAGGTTCCATGTCATATATACATATGAAATATGGACAACATCTTTTTCTAGCACGTTCGAGGGTTAATTTCCTCGACACCCGTTACGAAAACAGATACCTCATCTCGCCCGGTAACTCAAGTTTCGTCTGACCCCTATGCAAATGAACCGATCATCGAGATAAACTTATCCGATTATATAGAATACAATATTATGTCATTAAATTATCATGCTAATAGTAGTAGCATGTCATCATATTTAAAATATAAAATCATAAAAAATGTCATCCTACAATTGAGGAGATTTAGGAGAAAAGTTCAAAATAATATAGAATCGTGCCAAAAAAATGTATGTTATACTTGAGGATATCAGGAGTGCACGTGAATTTTTTCAGATGTCTAACCAGGAAAATTTTCGAGAAAATAATTATGAAATATTGACAGTTTAACACGGTCTTTCGTATGAAAGAACAAGGTTAGGTTGTCTCTTAATCGAAGTTAGGGCTTACTATTAATACGTTAGAAAAAAAAAAGTTTTTATAGATACTTTAGTACAAAAGGAAGATGCTCGACAAAAAAAATCAAGTCTTGCCTGGTATTTTTCAAAAATTTAATCAATTACAGTCGTACAGTTTGAAGTTTGTCGAGTGCAAGAGTAGATGCGCGGTAAAAGGATTACATGAGCGCTGGCCGGGGAACTCCCCGTTTCTCGCCTCTCCTAATGATGCTTCCAAACTTCCTTTATATATAACGCGTGCGTGAATAATTGGACGCAAAGTAGTTATTTTTAATCATTTAATAAATTCTCGAAAACTCGAAAAAAAACGACTCTCTGAGCAAGAGAGCATACATGAATATAGCATCGGAAAATAAGTGCGACAACTTTCGCTTATCATCCTGAGCATGCAGCGCTCTCACGTGACCATGGGAAACCGGCCAGGTGGTATACTGCCGGCGTGGAGCGCCCGAGGGGTCACTCGGGGCTTTTTTTTCACTCTCGCGCGCAAACGTGATGAGACAGCTCGTTGGACGCCCCAAGTCCATGGTCTTGGCTGGCCTGAGGCCACATCCTCCGCGAGAGGTTTCTTTTTTCCCCTGTGGTATACGATTGATTCTCGCGCCCTCCTTTTTCTCCACCGTTTTGTTTCCGGCACCTACTCTTATAGGCTGCGCAAAGCCATGGGCTCACGTTAGGTGGGCGAGTATGACTCACCACTTGGGGAATTGGCACTCGCAGGTGTACGACTTGGGCGTTTGGGCTGGATAATTTTTGGTTACTAAACTGCGATGCAAAAACGCTGATTTTTTTTTCTTCTTTCGCAAGTGGAGACGAGCGGTGGACTTGCGAAAGGAGAACGAAAAATGTGCACGAAAGTCGGTGAATAGCGCCATTAATCACTCGGTAAACAAAAGCTCTCTCACGTTACTCCTCTCCTTTCGTGGGTATACCTACGTGTGTGGGTACAAATAACCGCGCGAGGGGCTCGCTCCTCGACTGTTTCGCGATGCATCGGTGGCTGGTGCGAGTGTGCCAACTTCGTTTTATATTGTCATTTTCTGTTTTCGCCATTCACGTACTCGACTTTTCGTTTCTAGTGCAATGAATCATGGATTTAGTATTTTTAACGGATGTTTTCTTACGTGCAATTTATAAATAGTTGATTTCAAAGAAAAAACTATGCGTAACATGAGCACTCCAATGGTTCAAGTAAATAATGGTAATAATCTCACATAGTTTTAAAATATTGTCACTGTTAATATTTATACTTGTTGTATCATCTATTAAGGAGTGAGGTAAAATAACCAACAGTGACTGGATAATGTAGGAATTTTTTTTCTCAATAAATAGTTACACGATAAGATGCAAATTGTTTTGATGTTATTCAGGGTACTACATCTTTTCTTTCTGATAAATCTGTACGATGAAACTGTGCGAACTAGTCAATTTTGACGTAAAGATAAATGGGTTAAAGCTTTGTAAAGGTAGTGTACCCAAAGAAAAAGTTATGGACATTCATGTTATAACGGGTTAAACACAATGCTAATTGAAAATCACGTATTTTACCAAATTAACTGCAGATTAAATTAAAATTGCCGTTGTCGCTAGGTTGACTAGTGGGTGTCTAGTTTTTTTTTTTTTTTTTTTAAGGTTCGAGGGAAAAGAAGGTATAGACAAGTGTTTTATATTGGTACAGCGATGTTTACTGAATATGTACTTAATCAATTGAGTGGCTTAGGAGGTATGCATTACACGTATTTGTATATCTCGGATCAATACAATCAGTCGTCACACAGTCCGTGTTATATACTTTACGTCGCTTTCTTATTTGCGATTTTCGCTAAAGACTAGTGGTCCCCACTTGGCGAGCGATAGGGGGTACTATCAAATACTAAGTTGGAAGTCGGAGCTGCGCGCGAAATTTCAAAATTCAAATTTATGTAGAAACGATCTAATTTAAGAAAAATGATTAATTCAATATACAATAATTAATAAAATAATGCCCCGGATGGTAACACACTACTTATGAATTATCTGCTCAATTCATACATGTATCTTTCAAATGTACCGCAGTACGAGTAAAAGGCTTTTTTGAAAACTGTTTTTTTTTTTTTTTTTTTTTAATACATAAGTAGCAAAAAAAACTAGTTGTTTTGAGGAATCCTTAGGTTTAGGGTCAAGAAAACGGAAAAAATGACCATTTCGTTGACTTAACCATAGTTCCAAGACGTTTAGCAATTCTATTGCGAATATCATAAAAAATAGCCAATAAGGAAAAATTTTGTTCTCGATCACTCATATCTAGCTGTGTATACCCTCTATGCATTAAACATGATGATTATACTAGAGTTAAGAAAGGAGCAGTTGCCACTTGTCGTAGTGTCTTTACGTTTGTTACGTATTAATAACCAACAATTTATTTCAACGGGTGGTTAACATGATATATGACGTATAGCCATGTCTATTAAATGAAACTAAGAAGCAATAATCAAAAATTTTGTAAGGTATGTACAATAATTTGGAGTGTACGAATCTTACGATACGCGATTTTGCCGATATCAAGTTAGTGAACATAGGAATTTTCTGCAGGACCTTGTATTCCATGCCACAAAATTCGATACTTTATTTTGAAAAATAAAGCACAGAAAATTTCTCTCAACCCAATGACAACGAATTTGTCAAAGTCTGTACAGACAGTAAAAAAGACACAATACAACCAACTTCCTAAGATGCTCTTAAGATTATCACTACTGTTCGAGGAACGTACATTGTATTAATCGGCACTGCAGCAACAATAAAGTTAAGAATAATTGATGAATAAATAAAAAATACCTCGTGCCCACTTCTCGCAATAGCAGCCGTCTCTCACGAGTAAACGGGGAGACCAATGGTGTGGAGAGCACAAGGAGAAAGACACCTGAAAGTTCATCTCGTATACGCTCGGCTCTAGCCTGGAGGCTGGGTACTGTGTTTTATACATGTAGGTATTATATTCCATGCTTATCTATAAGTGCTACATACGAGCTGGCGCACACGAGAGTAAATGAGAAAGAGAAACAAGAAGAGAGAGAGAGAGAGAGAGAGAGAGAGAGACACGATGATTCAGTGTCAGTGGGTCAGTGGAACCGCTACTGCACGGGAGAAATCTTCATCCTTTGGCGTGCACGTGTGCCTATGGGCACATGTCTATATATAATGTGCCGTCTCTCACGTCTGAGCATTCTTATACGTATGTATGAAGCATTGACTCCACGTTCTCGGGCTTACTCGCTTCTTAAGCGCTGATGTACCTCTTTTTGTTATTCTTCACCTTTTATAAAGTCCAGACGAACATCATTGGAGGTGTCATCATGAGCTTTTTGATTCACAGGCTCACTTACAGAGCTTGCCGTAATTTTACACTTTTCCTTCATCTATATCGAGTCATAAGGGACAGCTGCTACCATCTCGTCCAAAAATTTAAAAGTAGTATAGGTCAATGATCGACGTGCCAAGTTCCAAGCCTCTTGTTTCGCAGCAGTGTGCGATTTAATTTAGCTTTGGATTAACGTCACATTCTCTTTGGGTTTATTTCAAGTTCATCGTAAGCAATAAATTTGTGTAAATATATTTGATGCTATATGTATTTATGACAGTTATGCTCGGTACAGCGTTTGTAACATAAAAAGTCGAGCTTTTTGTTTACGTAGTTTATTATGTGGGTTCTTGAGAGAAACTTAAGAGTAAAGTCTTGTTCTATGCTATGCTTTATAAAAAACTTTTTCTTTCAAACAGATTTTACGTATTTGTTCGATAGTTTTTACGAATGTTTTCCAAATACTTATTCGTGTACGCGAAATAATGAGATTACATGTGAAAGTATAGACGTATCGATTTTTCTCTCTCCTTCAATTTGAGTGTATTCTAACTAACACATTTCTACTCTGATAGACTTTTGTCCTTATTCCGGGAACTGCGCGTTCTTTTCTTTTAAATTTGCCATCAGAATCAAACGTAAGCGAATAATTTTTGTCAAAAATATTTTTTACATTGTTGTAAAAGGCCAATGAACGCTCGAATTGCTTTCTTTCTCTTCTTTTCTTCTTTTCCATATCCCTCTCCTTTTCTCTTTTTCTTCTTGTTTTTTCACTTAATTTACTATTAGAATTGTTTGTAGGTGACTTAATGAGTCAAAAATTTATTAATAATAAGTCAATAAGTGTATCTCGATGGTATCCTTCAACCTAAGGAAATTCGAATTACGATGGACTTATCCCCTTTTTCCGGGAACAATTTTTTAGAAATAGATTTATGCCCTTTAGCACTTCTCAGTATCTTACAATATCTGTCGAATTCGATTTTTTGACTTTGGTTCGACGAAAGAGAGGTACTTGGATATACCGAATCCACCACTACCATGATTGTTCAAAAAATTGACTTAAC